AAAGACAAAAGCATGGCGGCCATTGTGGTGCCGTTAACAATGGATGCTAATAAGAAATCTTTTGTTAAATGGCACCAACGCTCCCCCGAGAGGCCGCGATGACGTAACGTGCAAGCGAGGAATTAGAGCACGCATTCTTTTCACGGATACGTTTGGGGTTGAAGTCCATCACCAAACAAAATAAAACAGAGTAATGAAATGAAAGAAGAAAATAGAAAAAAGAAGAAACCAAAAGCAAATAGGAAAGAAAAGAGAAACCCAACACGAAACGAAATACTTAAGCAGCTTGTCACGCACGCTACATGTAAATCGTACTGGCAACATGAAGTAGAGGTTCTCACTTTTGCTGTCATGTATTCTCTCGGCACGACAACTTTGTTGCACGTGCACTGAGTGCAGCGTTTTATGCATGTCATACGGCATGACGACAAGCCCAGGCCCAAAATAAAGTACTGGTTATTACTAATGGACTACTTCGACGAGCCGGCGGCCATCTTGAATCATGACGGGAAGTATGGGTCGTGCGGGGAGCAAACTTACAAACTTTGCTATTTTAATGGCGTAGATTGACATTAACAGTTCACAAAAAGACAATTTGACAGCTAGAGATGAATTATAAATATGGACAGTTCCACTACYAAGTAAAAGTTTAAAATATCGTGGAGTCGTCATTTTTAAGTATTTGTTTAGTGCCTCCCTCCCCCGGACCACCCTAAAGGTACGGACACACGGTGCAATTACATTGCACGCAACAAATTTGAACCGGGGTGACACACGTTGCAACGAAATCACACAACACCGCTTGTGTCAGCGCGCTATGCTAAGACATTTGGTTAGGGGTTATAAATTTGTTGCAAGCTGATTGGTTCGAAATTTCAAAATGTTGCAGGTAATGTTGCAACCATGTTCACACGATGAAATTTGTTGCTCGCAATTTGCAGGAGTAGAGCTCGATTCAACTTCAGATTTGTTGCATGCAATGTTGGTAGACACGCTGCAACAGTTCTGTTGTGTGCAATGTTGCGTGCAATGTTGCACTGTGTGTCTTAAGCTTAATGCCTTTCGATTGAAGATGGCAAGTATTATGCAAAGGGGTGTATGTAGAATGGGTAAATCATGAAGAACATGTATTTTAATTATCGTAGTCAACTCACCGATTTTTGCACTCTGTCTTCTTGTTGCTGCACTGTGTCACTGAACGAGAATTTGGAACCAACCCGATGAATTTCAGCCTTTTTGCCGGTGTGTGCACGACTTTGTTGCCTGTATTAACTGCACTTTTATGGGTAGGTTCTCTTTTTGTGAATCTGATTATGTGTTAATAATAATTATGAACACATATGGACATACCACACTGCAGTTATAATAGAAGTACATGTACTAATGTTGTAGAAGGCACATTTGTAATAGACTTGCACATTTGTAATAAACTTGCATTTGTAATAAATATTGGAACAAAAGTGTATTTTTACAAATTTATTCATAGGTATGGGATTAATATAATCAATCCTTTTGTTCTAAAATAACCTGTCAATCAAAATTAAAGTATGATGTCATATGAGTCACGTGTTCATTGCTGCTAAAGTAATTTGTCACACTTATTAAAAAATCTATGTAAACAAAAGGTTTACAAGGACTTTCTTTGTTGCTTCTTAGTGGTCATTTTTAATTCGTGGAATTGCATAGGCAATCATGCAAGATTACATCATCCTACTTTGTTTTTGATTTTGTTTACATTTCTGGCTCTCATGTGACATGACGTCATTAGTCACGTGACTTTTTTATATTTGAATTTTCCACGAGCTAGGTTGCCATTGGCAACTTGATTTTGCATAGTCGATCGAAAGCTCGATATCAGTGAATAATTTTTTTGTCACAAATGTAAAGTAACTTTACCATGCTATACACGTTTAATGAATAACGATTTTTTTATTTCAAATTAATATCGTTAATTTTAATGTAATGCAAAAGTACTTTCAGTATATTGTTTGATAGTTTACGTAGAAATAATCAGGACTCAAATATGAATAAAGGAATCACATTACTGTGAAAACAGCTATAATACAATCAATATAGAAAATTGAAAAATCGTAATTATTGATTACTCAAAACTCATAGCCTTATTGCGATGCACCAGCACCGTGCGCAAGGCCATTAGTGGTTGTCTAGACAAATGTCTAGCTATGCAGACAACTCCGTGTCTTGAATAGAATTGAAAAAAATCTTCTCAAACTGGACTGTATATATTCTTATCGAAATAACCCCAAACGCTGTCTATCACCGTTTTAAAATTGTTTTGATATTTCATTTTATTAATTGTCCAAAGCTAAATGCATATTATTTCACTAAGTATGATAAATTACTTTAGCAGCAATGAACACGTGACTCATATGACATCATACTTTAATTTTGATTGACAGGTTATTTTAGAACAAAAGGATTATATTAATCCCATATCTATGAATAAATTTGTAAAAATACACTTTTGTTCCAATATTTATTACAAATGTTTAAGTTTATTACAAATGAGTCCAAAATTCACAGTTTATTACAAATAGGCAAGTCTATTACAAATGTACCTTCTACAATGTACACTTTTTTGTTCTAGGTACAACGGCCCAACATACGCTTCTTCGAGGTATGTGCACGATTTGTTTTGCCTGTATCAACTATGTTATATAGCTCTAGCTAGGTTCTCTTGTTTGAATTATGATGTGTTAAACAATTAAACATATATGACCTTAACACTGCAGTGATAATAGAGGTACGTCTACACTTTTAACCCCTTTCTAGGTACAACGGCCCAACATACGCTTCTTCGAGGTATGTGCACGATTTGTTTTGCCTGTATTAACTATGTTATATATCTCTAGCTAGGTTCTCTTGTTTGAATTATGATGTGTTAAACAATTAAACATATATAGCCTTAACACTGCAGTGATAATAGAGGTACATCTACACTTTTAACCCTTTCTAGGTACAACGGTCCAACCGACAACATCAGGTTCCAAGAAATGCATTTCAGAACCTTGGATGTTGGGATTCCTGCTTCTTTCTCGTTGGATCTGAAGCACAACTTTCAGCCGAGAAAGTCTCTTTCTTATTCGCTTGCTCTATTCAACACATCCACGTGATTCGCCAAACTAATAGTCATCACTCTCAAAGTTGGGGAACACTATAATTTTTCCATGTTAAGCTTGATTCACACAAGCGTCGGAATCTTATGCAACGAATAGACACAGCAATCGCAATCTGAGCTGATCCAAAAGATTGATTGATTGACATTTTTTAAATAATCACGCAAGACAAACGTCCCACGTTTGAATTAAAAAAAACCCCAACTATTTATTACTCTTTCCACTTTAAGTCAGCATACTCTCCACTAGAGTTCGACAGTTTTCAGATTCTCAAGKTTTTATTACAGCAAATAAAAGTATAAAGGTGCTGACACACGGTGCTACATTGCACGCAACATTGCAAGTAACAAATTTGCAACAAATTCACGCAACTTCGCTTGTGTCAGCATGCTATGCTAAGATATTTGGTCAGCAGTTGTAAATTTGGTGCAAGCTGATTGGCTAGAAATTCCAAAATGTTGCAAGCAATGTTGCAGCCATGTTTACACGATGAATTTGTTGCTCGCAATGTTGCAAGAGTAGAGCGCGACTCAACTTCAGAATTGTTGCATGCAACAAGTTTCAGGGGCGGCTAGATATTAAATAGCCTGCGTCACATCCGGAATTTTCTCCGGATGTGACGCAGGCTAGATATTAAAATGAAATGAAAATGGAAATGAGCTTCCATTGTTAGTCGTTTAAATCCCAGTACACTTCGAGGTTACATTAAAGATTCTTCCCTCACAACCCCGACCATTTTTTAAGGTAGGCTTTCATTGCAAAAGGTATTGTTTTCTGTGCGCATTATTGAACAATACGATTTTAGCTCCAGGTGCACCAGGGATGATCCATGCGGATCCCCTTTGTACAGTCAATAGCGCAGCGCAGTCGTGACGTAATAAAAACGAAGACAAAGGCGAAATTCGGACAAACAAACTTACAAGTTTACTTTCAGCAGATAATTTTCACAGCCGATCGCAGTTGATCTTAGTTTACATGGGTTATTATTGTAACTTTAAGGTGGCTGGACCCCCTCACGCTTGACCGCTACCTTCCACGTTTGGAACGCTTGTGCATAAACGTGTCTTATCCGATTGCAAATCTTTTTTGCACATAAGTCACATAAAGATTGAATTAATGTTTGATGTAATTTTTAGTGAGATCGGACGTCATAACACGTGATTATGATGAAATATTTGTTTTCGATTAGAAAATAATTTTAGCCTTGCAGAGCGTTCAACACTAAAATGCTTCGTACCACATAATTATATACTAAATGCCTCCATTTGTAGGGATTTAAAAAAATATCTATCTAGCTAATTATGAGATATTTGAGATTATTTAAGTATAGTGCATATTCTACTTCAAAACTTAACAATGGATTTCATACGGCCGAAATTAATATTTCAGAGCTATATATTCACAAAAGTCATTGCTCA